AAAAACATTAAAAAACAAACAAACAAAAAAACCTCATACTCTGGAGTGGTCAGCCAGGCATTTAATCAGAAACCACCATAAGGCTTCAGCTATCTTGATCTCCCATCAACCTCCCAAGCTTTGTCAATCAGCATAATGAATTTTCACTGTAAAAATTAGTGGCTTGTTAATTAGCATAATTAGTGGCATGTCCAACTTCTAGCCTGTGCTGTAAGGACATGGATGTGTCATGTTCTTCATGCTTTACTTCCTCCCTGCTAGTCATCTGTGAACACACTGAGCAGAGCTGGGCAGCCATAAAGTACAAGTGCATTGAGGATGGTAGAGTAACACAGCAGGAGCTGGAAGGAAAGGGAGAAACTTCTATCTTATTTAAGCCACCGTTATGTTGTATGAACCCCAGTCACTGTCAGCTAACCCTCCAGCTGACTAGCATAATAAATAACATTAATAAAGTGTTTTTAATTTTTAAAAAGTGGTAGTACTTCTGAAAAATTTCTTACCAGGGAAGCTCAGTCAATCCTCCTTGTCTAGCAATAGCAGACTTAACCCTGTTAGCAAACTGGACTGCATCTTCTCCTTCCTGGGGGGAAAAAAATTACAAGTATATCCTGAGTACACAATTTTCAAATCATGCCTTAAAATGTCTCAAAATAATTTAGATTTATTTTAAAATATAAGACTCACATTTTAGCTCAAATATGTTTGAGTCTCAATCATAGCAAGTATCATTCATTTTATTAAGAAAATGCAGTGCTGTGTTGTTTCATTTTTTTTAACCAGGGGTACATATTTATTATGTCCTCTATTAGTCTTATCCAAGATACAACTTTCCATAATACCTGTAGGCCCCATAAACTAACAGCAATTATAAAAATTATCATGGAAAAAAGAGTCTCTGAATATAAAATGGCCTGATTTGAAGAAAACTACATTTTTTTTAAAGACAGACTTTTGCAATTTATTTATATTCATATATTTCATCGATTTTTAGAGAAAGACGAAGGGAGAGGGCGGGGTGGAGAGAGAGAGAGAAAAACATTGATCTGCTGCCTCCTGCACACCCACTACTGGGGATTAAGCCAGCAACGTGGGCATGTGCCCTGACGGGAATCTAGCCAGCAACCTCCTGGTGCACAGATGATGCCCAACCAATTGAGCCACACCCGCCAGGGCCAAAAGAACTACATTTTTTAAAAAATGACTCATTTTCCTGAGAAAGCAGAAAGACAGTCCAGGTCTAGCTGATGTGAGGAAGGAAGACATCCACATTTTCAGGTAAAGGTTTTCTCATTTTTATCTGATTAAAGCCCCAAAGTCCAGCTATTGTTTTCTATGGCCTACCTCTCTCGTCATGGGAGGCAAGTACCACACATCACAGACGATGGCCCAGCTGGTCATCATTCGAAGCAGGTAGCTCACCATGTTGTATTTACTACTGTTCCAAAAGGCATCACCAAACTGAGGGTTATACTGAGAAAAGAAAAGAAAACACGTCACAGTTATGAATTAAGTGCTGGCTTCTCTTATCCAAGTCAATGCTTTCAAGGTGGCAGGCCCAACCTCTCTATGAGATTCAAAAAAAGAGAGAAGTTTCTTTGCTTGACAGAAATGATCAAGGAAGCAAACCAGTCCAACAAACTCCTCTGACCACAGCCCAGAGCACTGCAACGAGAGGCTGATTGACTCTTTTTCTATTTTATTTTTAAGAGTCTATTGAGCCAGACTGATGACATACTAGTAATGCCGGGTACATGACCCTTAAATGTCTGTCGCCCCACTTAAATGGAAGGGGGGTGAAAATAGGGACAATATCTGTTCTGCTCATCACTGACTATGTGCTCAGTGTTCAGGCTTTGGCCTGGCTTGAAGTCCCCCTGGTACATATCCTATCCATATCCATACGGAGAGAATGATCAAGCAAATGGGCAAAATGTAAACAGCTGGTGAACCTGAGTAACATATATACAACTGCTCCTTATTCTCACAAATTTTTAATTATCAAGTAACTAAGTGCCCTTTTCTGAAGGGAGGAGGGAATCTGTTTTACCTTAATTGCAACTGGATATATGGTTCCTCCAATTTCAAAGCTTCCCTTTTTAAACATCATGACTGAAGTATTATTGATACAAGTTCCTGCAAGAACATGGGGGTGGGGGCGGTGAAGAGGTGTTAAGAGGAATTACTTTGATATAAAATAATTTAAATTACTCAAATCATATCAAAATTACAGACATTTTACTACCATTTCACAAACTGATTCCTGCTTCAGTAATAATTTGATAGTTCCAAGCAGGTCTAATGAGAAACTTTTACTTTATTATTGAATACTTTAGAGATACAACTTCTTCACAACAGGTAATAATTTCAACACATTTAAAATAAGGACCTTGGAAAAGTTATGGACAATACCTTTCTAAGTTCATTACCCAGTAATAACTTTTAAGATTAAAAAGGTAAGACTTCCATGCCCATAGGACAGCAGATGTAGGCTAAAAATGCCAATTCCAGAACAATTCAAATCCTCATACACTTTTGGTGCTTGTTATCAACTATAACTTGGTAGGCAATCTTTCTCTTACCTTCAGGAAAGATTAATATGGGTAATTTTTTCTTATCAGCAATGTGTTCTCGTAGTCTGTGAAGAAAAATAAAGGATCAAAATTCTATCTTTAAACAGAGAGAGATGGAAATCATCTTTGGTATTCTCTACATTCTGCTATCACAAATATATGGAAAAGCAATAAGGAGAAAAGAAATAAGATATAAGTCAAGAAAATAAACTCAGGTGGGTCCCTTTCTAAAGAAGTGTAAGGATAGCTGCACTAGTTCAATTTCTCTCATCTCAAAGTGAGTGATTGGCAGTGTCTTCTGCCCACTCTTTAAAAACAAATGTTAGGCAGTCAGATGACAGGAGCTCTGGAGTCCCTGTCATGAGCTTTGTGCCCTTTCGTCTGTATCTTTATTACTCCATCTGAAAAATGGGGATATTGATTGCTGGACCTGTCTGCCTATGTCCATTAAGTGTAGAACATTCCTTAAATGGGTCAGGCTGAACTTTCCTAGGAAATACACACCGTAAGAAAGCCTGTATTCTTCCAGGCTTAGGTTCTGTCCTCCTTGTAGCCAGCCCTGAATTCCAACTGCTCATCAGCAGCTAGTAAGGCTGAGACAGGGAGATTACAGCCCCCAGAGTGGCCCACTGCTAAATAATCTCCCACTGCTATCCCCATCTAGGGGGTAGTTATTCTAACAGATTTCAATAAATATACTTTTCATTTTATCCTTAAGAGCATGGCTCACCTTCATGCTTATAGAAACAATGACCAGAGTGCCTTCAGTTAAAGGCCTCAGGCAAAAAAGGGTTTCCCAAAAAAGGTTTCTGGTAGCTCATCTCTATCCCAAGTCCCAAAGGGACTTATCCTGTTTCATAGAGATTAGCTCTGTCTGTCTCCAGGTAGATTTAAGTGGTAATAGTCTTTCAGCAAACATCAACCTATTAATTGATTGATATAATCTATTAATTCACCAAACAGTTACAAATCATTTAACTTTCTAGGTAGTAATTTTAACTTTGAAAATTCAGTAACTGGACTATACCTAAATCACCACAACATAAATTGATGGGCTTTCTAATCTCATATGCTCCACTATTCTTGCAGAATTAAAACTTTTAAAAATCTAGCTAAGACCAGTGATGTAACCAGAAAAAGCCTACCACAAATAGAGCTCCATGTTTTAGCTTTAATCTTAGCACTGTTCTGCCCTCTTGGGCAGGAAGGCCAAGATTTATCACATTTTATGCTACGCAAATGGGTAGTGAGTCACCACCTTACCTCTTAGTAACCAGGTGTCGATCCTTCATTTCTGAGCGTTCAAACCAGACATGTGGGCAAGCCTTAACCATAGCTCTCTGAATAATTCCCATCAATCCACCATGAACCTGCCCAACCTAGAAATACCATGAGATTATACAAAAATGTAAATGTAAAGGCACAGCAGTTCAAAGAAAGCGTGTGTGTGTGTGTGTGTGTGTGTGTGTGTGTGTGTGTGTGTGTGTAAGTAGGAGTAAGTTCTTATTCCCTAGTAGAAAAGATCAACCTGCTTCTACTGACTAAAGTTATTAGCCTACACAAAGGACATGAATGGCTAAATATAAGCAAAAGATGTTCTTTAGTAGCGCCTTTGAATTTTAAGCTATGTTGATATAATAGCTATACTATAGGTTTAAAAAGTAGAGTAGTCAAGAGAAATTCAAATACCATCCCTCACCTATCAGATTGAAAAAGAACCAAAGCTTAACAATGTACTCTAAACCAAGGCTATGGGAAATGGGCACTGTCGTACATTTCTTGGAATGGGGGAGATTATAAGCCCCATGGAAGGAAATTTTGCAATACCTTATCAAAACTGCATATATATTTATCCTTCAACTCAATAATTCTACTTCTAGAAACTCATCCTGAAGATAGACCATTTCACTCGAACAAGATGAAAATACATGTGCACAAGGTTGAAGTGGCTTCCTTCAAATGACTCCCTAGAAAGGTACACCCAATGGAGTACTACTATGCATCTGTGAAAAGAGCAAGGTTGAACTCTATGACTGATTAATGATTTCCAAGAGACATTATTAAGTGGGGAAAAAGCAACCTGCAGAGAGCAAATATAGTATAATGCTTTTTGTATGAGACAGGAGGGGAAATATACATACATATTTGTTTACCTCTACAAAAATAAAGAATAACCAAAAACAATGAAATTGGAATCTTACAAGGGTAGAAAGGAATGGAGTAGAATGGAAGGAATGGCATAATATGCCTTTAAACAAAAAATGTTTTGACATTTGGAAACATATTAATGTCCTACATGTTCAAAAATTAAATCAACAAGGATGGGACTGGCAAACTGAAAGCAAATGAACCCAGCTGTATTTCAAATGAGTAAAAGAACAACACTGAAGCAAGGTGGAGGGGAAGGGGACATGGGAATCCAAGAAATTTTTAAGACAGTATTTGAGCACACACCCTCATCTTGGATGGGGTACTGAGAACTGCAAAATACCCTGAATTATTCTTATATTTGTTTCTCGTAGTAAAACAGGTGAAGCAATTCTGAAACAATTTTGGATGTATTATAGAATTGAGAAAATAAGTTGATATTGTTGGGAAACAGGACATCCACTGCGAAAAAAAGGAAGATAAAATATGGATTGGGGAAAGCAAGAAAAAACCCTACAAATTGGATAAATTTGTATAGACTCATATATCTAATATTATATCAGTATTAAGAATAACATTAGGGCCCTAACTGGTTTGGCTCAGTAGATAGAGCATCAGCCTGCGGACTGAAGGGTCCCAGGTTCGATTCCAGTCAAGGGCATATACCTTGGTTGCGGGCACATACCCAGTAGGGAGTGTGCAGGAGGCAGCTGATCAATGTTTCTAACTATCTCTCTCCCTTCCTCTCTGTAAAAAAAATCAATAAAATATATTTCTAAAAAAAGAATAACATTAAGAATTTTAAATATAAATATATTAAAATATAAGTAGTTTACATGCATTTTTATAAAGAAAGCCAATATATGAGAATGAAAATAATAAAGCAAATGGGCCAAATATTACCAATAGGTAAATGTGGATAAAGGGCACATAGATGTAGTGACATTTTTATTATTTCAACTTCTATGTAAGTTGTAAAATACTACTAAATTTAAAAAAAAAAGTAGAGATCATTGCTTAGGAGGGAAAAAACTTTGAAAAGCCACTGAGATGGGATCTTGAACATTCTTCAAATATATAGTCTATGTTTAGCCAAAAGAAACCAAATATGACCTCTGGAGGGTAGCAATAGTTTCCTCCCTCCATTTCTGCCCCCTGCCTCTGATTGAAATCCAAATGGCTTTAGGTTTCTACCACTCAACACATTAGAAAGTTCGTAAGTACTATGCTTTCATAACCTTGACTAATATTGTAAATGCAACTATACATGATCAAAAAGCACAGAAAATGCCAACAAAATTCTGAGACCTCCAGTCACAAATGAGCTATGCCCAACTCTTGTTGACAAGGACACTAAATGAATATGGTCCCAGAAACACAAAACGATGATTAGGTAAGTTGGTTAAAATGCCTGAACCTCTGTTTTCTTATCTATAACAAAATCTCAACTCTAACTTCACTGACTTACAGGGAAGGTCAAATATAATGGATGTGAAAGTGCCTATCCACATAAATGCAAGGAATTATTATAGACTCCCAGGACTATGCTGGGGGAGGGGGTCTATCAAGGGTTGTGAACGTGAGGCTCCTTGGAAGGGCTTTCTGGAGATCCATAGACACACTGAAATTAGACACAGAATTATGTTTGTATGATGCACAAGTATGTTGTTGTGATTTGTTTATTTTCCTTTAAAAAATTACATAACTATTAACTGATTCCTAACCTAAAAAAGATTAAGAAGTACCAATTCCCAAAAATCTTTGCAGAAAGTTGGTTAAAGCTCCCTTAGATTAAGAGAGAAACCAATGACTTATTAGTACAGTAATTTAGCAATGTGTTAAAATGTCTTACATATCTGAATTCCTATTTTAGGCAGATTAAATACCTAGCAATAAGTTAGGAGTTTTCACAAAGGCCTTCAAAACCCCCTTAGTGATTGCATAACCTGTGTACAGTCAAATACCACAATGTGCCAGAACTCCCACTCTCCTACCTACAGCAGACAGTGAATAGTGGCTTCCTCCAAATGCCTCCCCAGAAAAGTACATCAACCATGACTGTCAGTCACTGGAGCTGAGAAGTGAGAAAAAAAAAAATCCATCTGCTCTCCTGAAGCCCAAGCCACCACCACTAAAGGATATGAAAAGAGGATTCCCCCAAGACTGTGGGTTATGGGGTTTGGGTAGGGTTTTCTTTTTTATTTTAGGGCTAGAGGCAAGAATTGCAAAAGACAATGTGGTATAAATATTTGCCTTTCTTGTTTAATCTTTATTAAAGGGATTGTTTGTTTGTTTGTTTGTTTGTTTGTTTTAAATTGCTTATGACTCCCTGAAGGAAGGCAGAACTAACTTGGCTGGTAAGGGATTTTCACAGATCTAAGGAGGAAGACGTTAATCTCTGAAAGTGTTATTAAACATCACAGGGATTTGAGAAGCAAGATGGAATCAACTTGATAAAGTCCTGTGAAACTCAAGTGTGTCTGCATATCAGTAAGTTAAATTTTTATTACCTTAAATATAATGTTTTTTTCTTTTTTTTTCTTACACTATATGTTCATGTAAATATATTACATAACATATAGCTACAGTAGTATAACCCAGTCACTTTGTAATATAAAACTTTATGATTTGTGCCCAAATAAGTTTAAAATTTAAGCAAGCCACAAAACATGGAACTACTTGAAATATCAATAAGCTGCTCTTACCATAGCATAGCATCCATCTGTTGTTAAGATCAAAACATCTATTGGGGAGGTATGGTTGGCAACACAAATGCCTCCCTTCTGGGGTTTGTACTGCCTGCAATCACAAACAATGGTAAATACTAAACATTGAAAAATGGCGACTATTTAGCAGAACAGCATGTAGAGATTCATCCTATTTTGTTTTAAAAATTTCAGTAAAAAAGTAAAGTTCGTAATATATGGGCCCACCTTAAAAAGGTTGTCTCTGGGGGTCTATCTGATTTAAACAGTGGTGAATCAGATTGAGGTAAGAGTATAGGAAAAGGAACCCCTGACTTTCCCTTTATATATTTTTATGTCATTTTTTGTAATGACCAGATTTTCCTCTTATGATGAAAATATAATTTTAAAATATTAGACTGAATTATAAAGATTCTATAATTTTAATAAATTTTATGATAAGTTTCATTCATTTTACCATAAGCATTTTCCTGTTATTTTCGTCTTCATAGCATCACTTTTAGAGCCTTCACGGTGATCCATAGAGTAAAATTCCTATTGGTTCCTTTCTCCCTTCTATCCCCCTAAAACAGAAGTTGGCAAACTTTTCCTGTCACAGGCCAGAGAGTAAATACTTTAAGCTTTGCAAGCCAGCCAATCTGTCAAAACTATAGGACTCTGCTGTTTTGGCACAAGGCAACCAAAGAAAATATGTAAATGAATGAGCATGGCTGTGTTCCACTAAAACTTTATTTACAGAAAACAGATGGTGGGACACATTTGGCCAACGGGTCCATAGTTTAGTTTGCTGACCTCTGTCTTAGAGTTCAACCAGTACTGGACACTAAGGAAGCAAAGCAATTTTCTTTGGTTCTATGCTGGGAAGAAAGGAAACCAAATGCACAACTTTAGCATGTTTTCCTTAAAATGAGAGGCAATTCTATAAAAAGTTATGAATTCCTCTCTATGTAATTAAAGCACCTTTCCTGTGGAAGGTATCTCCTCTGCTCACATTTCTTCCAAAGCATTTTCTTCTACTCCTCACCCCAAAACTCACAGCCCAATTACAAAATCATATAATTTTAGAAATTGAAGGGACCTTTTATGTTGGTGTCACATGGGAAAGCCAAATAATAAACTGTTTCCCTTCCACAAATGAAATAGAAGGACCCAGTCACTGAAAATTTAGAGGCTTGTCCCAGAACTTTTAATACAATGATGTTAAATGTAAGAAAAAATAAATTTGAGTTAATAGAAAAGTTAGAAATCAAAACTCTTCTCATTCAGCTTATAACTTCACTTAGCTACCATTACCCTCTACAACTAAGGGTAAGGAAAGCAGAATATCGGGGTCCGTATTAAGGCTCAGTTGTGGATTTAGGAGGGGCAGGAATGAGACCAGAGACTAGGCCTCCAGATTCCAAGTCTGGTCCTCCTTCAACCACACTAAAGGCCTGTCACCTTCACCACTGTTTAAGTCAGACGGATCTCATTCAAAATCTGACTGCCCCTTACTATGCAATCCCAGACAACCAATCCCAGAGCCCCCGTTTCTTCCGCTGTCAAACAGGAAAACAGCGCCTCTCAGAGGGAAGACCTCGAGAAGCACAGGCCTGCCCTGCACACCACAAATGCCCAATGACCAAGTGTCATTACATGTTTATTGGCATGTTCCTTCTGCAAACGGACTGCTTTTTTAAAGAGGTTTTGTGTGTGGTTATGTCTCTGACACTCTAAGAGGTAGGGATGAACACACAGGAAGTCCTCTCATTTCACCTGTCCACACGCACTGACCTGACCTAGAGAAAGCCAGGCCCGAAGCCAGCAGACACTCACCTGTTGTGATAATGAATGGTCCCAGAGAGGGCGCGCACACAGATCCGGCAGCAGGTCAGGTGGACCAGCTCACTTAGCCAGTTTTTTAAACTGAAGGAAAGAAAAATACATTTTATTGTGCAGTTCTGGGCACTCCTAGGAAATAATACAATAAAAGCTTTAATGTGCTCCTTCACAGCAGCACCCTGTGCTCTGAAACACAAGCACAGTTCAATTCTCATAGCCTCACTGAGGCACTTAGGACAACATGCTGACGGAAAATAGCTCCCTCCCGACTCGACTCTCCCGATAAGTTCCTGATCAAGATAAGCTGAAGCTTCTTTGGTCTCAGCCTTATGAGGCTGACAATAGTATAAGACTCTCGCTTTCCTTAAGTTCTTCAGTCATTTTCTTTCTTCTCTTTCTTTTCCCTTTGAAAATACAACTTCTTGGGACTTACGTGAAAGTATGTTTGACAATATAAAGTAAGCAGGATGTTAACAAATGTGTTGAGGCCATAGATTTGATACTTTACGTTGGAATTCATCAAATATTCTCTTTGTGGATATAGCTAAGAAAAGGACAATCCTGTTTGCGGCTGTGAAAGGAAACATGTCACCTGCTGTCTGGAAGCTGCCCAACCAGTGTCGTTCCAATAACCAACAAGCTGATCCCAATGAAAGCCAAGGTAACCCTGTAAAAGGAAAGGGGATGCATATGTTTAGTTGAATAGTAGAGGTAAAGGAAAACAACCTGAAACTTCACAAATAACAAAATCGCGGATAAGTTGTGGGGTATCCATGCTATGGGATATGGTGCGGCCATAAAAACTGGATAAATCTATAGGTTCTGACATGGAAGAACGGTCCTTGGTACATTTTGAGAGCAAAAAAAGCAAAGTCTCAAGACAATGTATGGAAAATGATGACATTTTCAAAATAACAGCAGGCGTATGAATCATCTATAATACACAGAGAAGGCCTGGAAATCGATTCACAAACCATCAAGTTCAATCTACATAATCATCAGAGTGTTAAGTGGGCAGGTGAAGGGAACAAATGAAAAGTCTTGACCATCTGCTTTATTATTTTAATTTTTAAATTATCCTGAATTGCTTTAAATTAATACATAGTAACTTCTATACAAAATAGATTTATGTTGTATAAAGGAGTCATTTCAGGTTGAAAGTAGTCATCATGTTTTGTTCAGGGTACTTTGGTGTGGTGTGATAAGGTTGTAAAAGAAAATATCTTGCAAAGGTCTGAAAATCACTTGGTTTTCCCGGTTTTTTTTAATGACAGGTAAGCAAAAGGGTACAATTCAAAATTTTCTTGAGTATATTTAAAATTTATAGCAGATGGCAAAATAAGCTGTACTTACAGGCTCATTCATAATAAGAACTCCAAATTATATATTCCTCAATGCAAACCTAATGGTTATTCCTTTGGACAGTTCAAGATAACTTGAAAGTTAGCAAACAAGATGACTGACAATATTTTAAATCTCCACACAGACATTATCTCATTTTTGAAAAGTGCTTTTAATATATATTTCAATAACTTTAAAAATAACATCACTTTAGAAATTAAATAGGATTACTCAAAAAGAAAAAGTTGTTTTATAATCTTTCAGAATAAATGGATTTCCTCATAAACACCTCATACGGGTATTAAAGTCTTGGTTTAACACCTTTTTGTTGTTGTTGCTGCTGTTAATCTTCACCTGAGGATATTTTTCCATTACAGAGAGTGGAGCCCAGCCATGTGGCTCAGTGGTTGAGCATTGACCTATGAAACAGAAGATCACGGTTCGGTTGCTGGCTTGATCCCTAGTGTGGGGCATGCAGGAGGCAGCCAATCAATGATTCTTTCTCATCATTGATGTTTCTATCTCTCTACCCCTTTCCTTTCTTCTCTGAAATCAATAAAAATATATTTTTAAAAAATTTAAAAATAAAGAGAATGGAAGGGAGGGGGAAAGACAGAGAAACATCGAGATACATTGATTGGTTGCCTCACGCACAAGCCCCCAGGATGAGCCTGCAACCGATGTAACGTGCCCTTGATCAGGAATCGAACCTGGGACCCTCAGGTCCACAGGCCGAGCTCTATCCTCTCAAACTGGCTAGGGCAGTTTAACACATTTTGACACAGCAATTAGAAGGTCAAATTAAGCTTCCTTTAGTTGCCATACTTTCATGTCAGTCACTGATAACTAAATAGCTGTTTTAATCTTAACCATCAATAATGCAAAAGTTTTAAAATGTTTTGCCATCTTGCTCTAAGGAGAATCACTTGTTCTTACACATTAGGGGTGACATTTCAACATGTCTAACAATTATGTTCCAAACCATTGAAGGTTTTTGTCTGCTAGACTAACAAACCAGAAAATTCTGTTTTCCAGTTGTAGTGAGCAAACAGGAGAATTCTCTTAGATGACACAAACTTTTCAGCCACAATCTGTTTACGAGGTTTTTTTAAGAGCTTTATGGAGCTACAATTCACATGTTATAAAATTCACCCATTGAAAAAGTATAATCCAATTGTTTTTGGCATATTCACAGAGTTGTATGACCACCAACACAAGCATTTTTAGCACAATCTGGGTTTTTTTTTATGCTTACTTTATAGCAATTTCTTCTTTTAAACACCAGTTTTAAAGCAATTCTTTCATAATGAAGAGTTTGTAGTAAGAGTAGGAATCTTAATTTTGCCATTTCTTCTTGTTCTTGGATGCTAACATTACAGGATTATCTTAAACCTGGTTTCTTTGCAAGAATCTTTTATGTCACATCTATTGTATGTGCATTAATTTAATTTAAACTAGATAATAAAATCATAACACTATTTGCTGGACACCCACCGCAGGTGAAAGCTAACCAACAAATGAGGGAATCTCAAGACTGTTGTGAAATCCTCACTGTTCTCAATGGCTGCCTGGGATATGGTGCCTGATCAATGGACCAAGTGAAGATGGAAGAGTTTATCTATATACTCAGCTTCACTGAGGTTTCATTTCTTTTTAAGAATAAAAACAATAAATGGACGCTCTAATTATAATAAACTAGAAACTTCCAATAAATAAAAGCTCGAATATTGCCTTCCATAGCATGCAATTAGGTAGTCTTGGGCATCCCCGAGTACATGAACCCCACACTGGCTTAAGGTTCAAGCAAAAGTGTATATAAAGCCCTGCTGGAGTGTGAAGTGTCTCAGCTGGTTGAGTGTCATCCTGTGCACCAAACACTGCTGGATCGATTCCTGATCAGGGAACATACCTGAGTTTGATTCCTGATTGGGGTACATACAAAAGACAACCGATCAATGTTCTCTTTCACATTAATATCTCTCTCTCTCTCTTCCCCACCCCCTTTTCTTAGTATGTCCTCAGATGAGGATTTAAAACAAAAACAGAAGTGTATGTGAAACCCTGAATTTCACTTTGTTATTAGAGCTGAAATGATTCCCAAAAGACGTAACATGCCCCCAATATCTAGTCACTGGCAACATGAGCACAGGAAAGCAGAAAGAGTTTCTTAGAAATGTGCCTTTGCTTATACTTAAGCAATCTTCTCCCCTGTAATAAATCTGAATGAGGCAAGTATAGGCCACCCTAGGGATGATAAAGTGGTTTCAAGTTATGTACCAATTTTTGTTGGCTGATAGCGACTGCCTGGAACGCTCTATTGAGAGGATACCAAGGCCATGTCCAAGGGAAATGAAGCAAGACAATAAACAGGAATGTTATGACTGATACACATGCATACTACCTGCCACCACCATACTAAACAAGCCTTAGTTACCTGTACTACATCCCAATGCCCGGTGTTCCCTCTTCTGCTCTAGTTCCACACTATGGTTCCAGTCAGTAGAGCTTGAGGATACCTCCTCATCAGGTGGCACTCAAACTCAGAACCAGAAGGAAGCCCAGATATGGAACTTTTAATAAGAAAAGTGAGTGATCATAAATGGATGTGGATGGAACACATTCACTCTACTGAATGGCTCTCTCCCATGTGGTAACCACTCTCAGGAATGTTTCCTCTCCTAGGCAGCTATGAACCACTACAGACCAGCAGAGAGACAGTTACAGTTTGTTTGACACACAGTGAGTGTGAAACTGTAAAAACCTCTTCTTTTTTCTCATTTCCCTTTTCTATCCATCAAATTATCTGTGACGGAAAGTGTAACGTGGATCCAGACTAATATATAATAGATTCTGAATACACACCTTAATTGGGGGTGGGGGGGGGGAAGAGGAGGAGATGTGAAAGGAGAATAGATACTTAATACATTCCTGATGGTGTTTTCTTAAGTGGGAAGGAGTGAGACTAGTACCATAATACTCACATGTGGCCATTACATACATGATTTAAAAGAAAGATGAACCAATGATACCATCAAACCCCCGGGCAGGAGACCTACCTCAGAGGCAATAGGACACAGTAGCGTATTATGACGCCCAGCACCCACACCATGGTGAGCCGCAGACTGATGTACTGGAAATTTATATTGGTCCTTGTGAGGAGATTCCATGACACTAGCTCCTCTGAGGAGAACCTCTGGGTCACTTCATCTTCCACAATGGCTTCCAATCCCTTCTTGGAGAAATAAAATGCATCAGACAGCTCAAAGTCCCTTCCTCGGAGACCAGAGAGCCCTTTTTCCATTGGTGACTTGTCTCTTTGGATAATACCTTAAAAGAAAGCAACAGGACATGAGGAAATGCTATAGGACATATTTAAGAAATGGCCAAAGGACCAACTGTGCACAAAACAAATAAATTTAACAGATCATATGGCAGATTTCATATATACAAGACAAACAACTGCAGTGAGAGAAGAGGTAAAATCACCAAGTCTGAATGAAATGGCCCCTACCCAAGGATTTTGATTTACAAGGAGGAATCTTGGTCCTCAATAGCCTTCTTGCTTACCTTTCCTCCCTTCACACCATTAGTGAAAGTACTCACAGAAGCAAACTCTCCCCATGTATAGATCTAGACTATAAAAATAAAGACTTCTGTTCTCCCCTGATAAAAACCATAAAGCAAAAAACAAAGCAAAATGGTAAAAGGTGTTTACCACAAAAGGCAAAGATTGATGTTTTTAATATGTGAAAATTATTTTACAAGAAAAGCACAGGTTGCTACAGAAAAGTAAGCAAAATTCATGAACTGAATTTACAGAAACAACATAAATAGTTAATATGTAAAAACTTACAGTAATCAAAGAAAGGTGACTTAGACTAGCCTATTTATATTGTTACATCAGCAACATTTTTAGTGATAAATTTCGAAGATAGAAATAATACGGTTACTCTCATACTCAATTTGTATTGAGTATGGAACTGGTAACAACTTTGCCAAAATCGGTTTGGCATGAAGAGACTAAAAAAAAAATAGTTTTGCTGATAATCCAATAATTCCAATTCTAAGAATTTGCCATAAAAAAAATAATCAGAATTGTAGGCCAGAGTATTCACTGTAGCATTTTCCATTATAATCTTTCCAGACGATGAAATAGAATGCATCCATTAATAAATATTCTAACATTAAGTGAAAAAAAAGGCAAGATCTCTATGAAACATATATACATTGAAAAAATGTTAAGAAGGACATTAAGTAGTTATCTCTGGACAATAAGATTAGAGTTTTCCTCTTTATACTGTTACTAGAGGCCCGGTGCACAAAATTCGTGTACGTGTAGGGTCCCTATGCCTGGCCAGCGATCAGGGCTGATTGGGGCCTTCCGGATGCCAGCCTGGGCCTCTCTTCCCCAGCTGCCAGCTGCCAGGTGCCAGCCGAAGCCTTCCTTCATTCTGCACCACCCCCAGGTGGTCAGTGCATGTCATAGCGAGTAATCAAACTCCCGGTTGAATCCCCAAGGGGACACTTTTCATATTAGCCTTTTATATGTACAGATTGTATTTTCCATAAAGAAAATAATTCAAAGGTTTTTCAAGTAGCAGAAGTTTGTAAATTGAAAAATGACTACTACTATTCAGTTCTAACTACCAAAAAAGAAAAATTGACGAGAAGGTCTTTGAAGAATAAGGAGGAGCCGTAACCGGTTTGGCTCAGTGGATAGAGCGTCGGCCTTCGGACTGAAGGGTACCAGGTTCGATTCCAGTCAAAGGCATGTACCTTGGTTGCAGGCATATACCCAGTAGGGAGTGTGCAGGAGGCAACTGATCGATGTTTCTCTCTAATCAATGTTTCTGACTCTCTATCCCTCTCCTTTCCTCTCTGCAAAAACTCAATAAAATATATTTTAAAAAAAAATGAAGTTAGATAAGTGACTTCTTAAAATCCCATGTATATCGTGACTCTCCGGGCTCAGGGCCAGGGTCCAGCCATTCCCACACCCTCCCAACCTCACTCAGGCTGGTGTAAATCACAGTCCACATTTCTAACTGTTTCCTTGAGCCAGGCTTCCAGACAAGGCATTGCTAAGGCCAATGGAGCGGAACCTTCGGCAAGCCATGACTGTGCAGCTCCAAACCGTTCCCTGAAAGTTCCCCTGCCTCCCAACAGTGTGTAGGAACATGTCATCTAACAGCTGGTCACGACCAGGATTTGTTTTTCAATCCTTGCTGACAGGAAAAAAAACAAAAAACAACACCAGGGTACCTCGCTGTTATTTTACGTCAGTTAGGATGCATGTTTGAGTGTCTGTTAGATACACTTTTTATCTATTGAAATACAATTTGTATTATCTTTCTTCCTTTCTAGGCTAACATACTTCAAAAAAAAAACCTTTAATGTTTCCGAAACCAGAGTATTCAATAATCAAAATGGTTATGTCACTGGGTTTTCTTCTTCCCTAGAAATCTATTACTCAACTGATAATTTTTAAAATAGGTGGT